CTAGGACAGAGGGTCTAAGGACAGAGGGTCTGAGGACAGAGGGTCTGAGGACAGAGGGGTCTGAGGACAGAGGGTCTGAAGGACAGAGGGTCTGAGGACAGAGGGTCTAAGGACAGAGGGTCTAGGACCAGAGGGTCTGGAGGACAGAGGGTCTGAGGACAGAGGGTCTAAGGACAGAGGGGTCTAAGGACGAGGTCTAAGGACAGAGGGTCTGAGGGTCTGAGGACCAGAGGGTCTAAGGACAGAGGGTCTAAGGACAGAGGGTCTGAGGACAGAGGGTCTAAGGACAGAGGGTCTGAGGGACAGACAGGGTCTGAGGACAGAGGGTCTGAGGACAGAGGGTCTGAGGACAGAGGGTCTGAGGACAGAGGGGTCTAAGGACAGAGGGGTCTAAGGACAGAGGGTCTGAGGACAGAGGGTCTGAGGACAGAGGGTCTAAGGACAGAGGGTCTGAGGACAGAGGGTCTAAGGACAGAGGGTCTGAGGACAGAGGGTCTGAGGACAGAGGGTCTAAGGACAGAGGGTCTGAGGACAGAGGGTCTAAGGACAGAGGGTCTGAGGACAGAGGGTCTAAGGACAGAGGGTCTAAGGACAGAGGGTCTGAGGACAGAGGCTCTGAGGACAGAGGGTCTGAGGACAGAGGGTCTGAGGACAGAGGGTCTAAGGACAGAGGGTCCTAAGGACAGAGGGTCTGAGGACAGAGGGTCTAAGGACAGAGGGTCTGAGGACAGAGGGTCTGAGGACAGAGGGTCTAAGGACAGAGGGTCTAAGGACAGAGGGTCTAAGGACAGAGGGTCTGAGGACAGAGGGTCTGAGGACAGAGGGTCTGAGGACAGAGGGTCTAAGGACAGAGGGTCTGAGGACAGAGGGTCTAAGGACAGAGGGTCTGAGGACAAGAGGGTCTGAGGACAGAGGGTCTGAGGACAGAGGGTCTAAGGACAGAGGGCTTCTAAGGACAGAGGGTCTGAGGGTTCTGAAGGACCAGAGGGTCTAAGGACAGAGGGGTCTAAGGGACAGAGGGTCTGAGGACAGAGGGTCCTAAGGACAGAGGGTCTGAGGACAGAGGGTCTAAGGACAGAGGGTCTGAGGACAGGGGTCTAAGGACAGAGGGTCTGAGGACAGAGGGTCTGAGGACAGAGGGTCTAAGGACAGAGGGTCTAAGGGACAGAGGGTCTGAGGACAGAGGGTCTGAGGACGAGGGTCTGAGGACAGAGGGTCTAAGGACAGAGGGTCTGAAGGACAGAGGGTCTATAGGACAGAGGGTCCTGAGGACAGAGGTCCTGAGACAGAGGTCTGAGGACAGAGGGTCTGAGGACAGAGGGTCTAAGGACAGAGGGTCTGAGGACAGAGGGTCTGAGGACAGAGGGTCTAAGGACAGAGGGTCTAAGGACAGAGGGTCTGAGGACAGAGGGTCTGAGGACAGAGGGTCTGAGGACAGAGGGTCTGAGGACAGAGGGTCTAAGGACAGAGGGGTCTGAGGACAGAGGGGTCTGAGGACAGAGGGTCTGAGGACAGAGGGTCTAAGGACAGAGGGTCTGAGGACAGAGGGTCTAAGGACAGAGGGTCTGAGGACAGAGGGTCTGAGGACAGAGGGTCTGAGGACAGAGGGTCTGAGGACAGAGGGTCTCTAAGGACAGAGGGTCTGAGGACAGAGGGTCTAAGGACAGAGGGTCTGAGGACAGAGGGTCTAGGACAGAGGGTCTAAAGGACAGAGGGTCTGAGGACAGAGGGTCTGAGGACAGAGGGTCTGAGGACAGAGGGTCTGAGGACAGAGGGTCTAAGGACAGAGGGTCTAAGGAGAGAGGGTCTGAGGACAGAGGTCTGAGGACAGAGGGTCTAAGGACAGAGGGTCTAAGGACAGAGGGTCTAAGGACAGAGGGTCTGAGGACAGAGGGTCTGAGGACAGAGGGTCTGAGGACAGAGGTCTGAGGGTCTGATGACATAGGGTCTAAGGCAGAGGGTCTGAGGACAGAGGGTCTGAGGACAGAGGGTCTGAGGACAGAGGGTCTGAGGACAGAGGGTCTAAGGACAGAGGGTCTGAGGACAGAGGGTCTAAGGACAGAGGGTCCTGAGGAAGAGGGTCTGAAGGACAGAGGGTCTAAGACAGAGGGTCTAAGGACAGAGGGTCTAAGGACAGAGGGTCTGAGGACAGAGGGTCCTAAGGACAGAGGGTCTGAGGACAGAGGGTCTAAGGACAGAGGGGTCTGAGGGACGAGGGTCTAAGGACATAGGGTCTGAGGACAGAGGTCTGAGGACAGAGGGTCTAAGGACAGAGGGTCTAAGGACAGAGGGTCTGAGGACAGAGGGTCTGAGGACAGAGGGTCTAGGACAGAGGGGTCTAAGGGACAGAGGGTCTGAGGACAGAGGGTCTGAGGACAGAGGGTCTAAGGACAGAGGGTCTAAGGACAGAGGGTCTGAGGACAGAGGTCTGAGGACAGAGGGTCTAAGGACAGAGGGTCTAGGACAGAGGGTCTGAGGACAGAGGGTCTAAGGACAGAGGGTCCTGATACAGGGGTCTAGAGGACAGAGGGTCTGAGGACAGAGGGTCTAAGGACAGAGGGTCTGAAGGACAGAGGGTCTAAGGACAGAGGGTCTGAGGACAGGGGTCTGAGGACAGAGGGGTCTAAGGACAGAGGGTCGAAGGACAGAAGGGGTCTAAGGACAGAGGGTCTGAGGACAGAGGGTCTTACGGACAGGAGGGTCTAAGGGACAGAGGGGTCTGAGGACAGAGGAGGCCTGAGGACAGAGGGTCTGAGGGACAGAGGGTCTTTTGAGGACGAGGGGTTCCTAAGGACAGAGGGTCTGAGGACAGAGGGTCATGAGGACCAGAGTCTGAGGTCTAAGGACAGAGGGGTCCTGAGGGACAGAGGGTCTGAGGACAGAGGGGTCTAAGGGACAAGAGGGTCTAAGGACAGAGGGTCTAAGGCAGAGGGTCTGAGGACGAGGGTCTGAGGACAGAGGGTCTAGAGGACACGAGGGTCTAGGGACAGAGGGTCTGAGGAAAGGGTCTCTGAGGGACAGAGGGTCTGAGGGTCTGAGACGAGGGTCTAGGACAGAGGGTCTAAGGACAGAGGGTCTGAGGACAGAGGGTCTAAGGACAGAGGGTCTGAGGACAGAGGGTCTAAGGGACAGAGGGTCTGAGGACAGAGGGTCTAAGGACAGATGGTCTAGGACAGAGGGTCTGAGGACAGAGGGTCTGAGGACAGAAGGGTCTAAGGACAGAGGGTCTGAGGACAGAGGGTCTAAGGACAGAGGGTCTAAGGACAGAGGGGTCTGAGGACAGAGGGTCGAAGGGACAGAGGGTCTAGAGGACAGAGGGTCTAAGGACAGAGGTCTGAGGACAGAGGGTCTGAGGACAGAGGGTCTAAGGACAGAGGGTCTGAGGACAGAGGGTCTAAGGACAGAGGTCTGAGGACAGAGGGTCTAAGGACAGAGGGTCTGAAGGACAGAGGGTCTAAGGACAGAGGGTCTGAGGACAGAGGGTCTAGAGGACAGAGGGTCTGAAGGACAGAGGGTCTGAGGACAGAGGGTCCTAAGGACAGAGGGTCTGAGGACAGAGGGTCTAAGGACAGAGGGTCTGAGGACAAGGGTTAGGACAGAGGTCTAAGGACAGAGGGTCTGAGGACAGAGGCTCTGAGGACAGAGGGTCTGAGGACAGAGGGTCTGAGGACAGAGGGTCTAAGGACAGAGGGTCTAAGGACAGAGGGTCTGAGGACAGAGGGTCTAAGGACAGAGGGTCTGAGGACAGAGGGTCTGAGGACAGAGGGTCTAAGGACAGAGGGTCTAAGGACAGAGGGTCTGAGGACAGAGGGTCTGAGGACAGAGGGTCTGAGGACAGAGGGTCTAAGGACAGAGGGTCTGAGGACAGAGGGTCTAAGGACAGAGGGTCTGAGGACAGAGGGTCTGAGGACAGAGGGTCTGAGGACAGAGGGTCTGAGGACAGAGGGTCTAAGGACAGAGGGTCTAAGGACAGAGGGTCTGAGGGTCTGAGGACAGAGGGCTAAGGACAGAGGGTCTAAGGACAGAGGGTCTGAGGACAGAGGGTCTAAGGACAGAGGGTCTGAGGACAGAGGGTCTAAGGACAGAGGGTCTGAGGACAGAGGGTCTAAGGACAGAGGGTCTAAGGACAGAGGGTCTGAGGACAGAGGCTCTGAGGACAGAGGGTCTGAGGACAGAGGGTCTGAGGACAGAGGGTCTAAGGACAGAGGGTCTAAGGACAGAGGGTCTGAGGACAGAGGGTCTAAGGACAGAGGGTCTGAGGACAGAGGGTCTGAGGACAGAGGGTCTAAGGACAGAGGGTCTAAGGACAGAGGGTCTGAGGACAGAGGGTCGAGGACAGAGGGTCTAAGGACAGAGGGTCTGAGGACAGAGGGTCTAAGGACAGAGGGTCTAAGGACAGAGGGTCTAAGGACAGAGGGTCTGAGGACAGAGGGTCTAAGGTCAGAGGGTCTGAGGACAGAGGGTCTAAGGACAGAGGGTGTCATATTGTCATACTGATATTCTGTACAAACTGTGATATTGGGCTCTAAATAAACATTGATGGATTGATTGCAGTGAGAATCAGATTTATTTCTTATTCTAATGAAATGAATGAAAGTATTATTATCTGTATTGTTTTGTTGTAATGTTATTTGACGTTGGAGGATTTAATGTACCAGAAGATGCTCAATAAATAATATTAAATAAAGTATGAATACATTTCCAATCCACCTGAATAGCAAGATAAAGAATAACAACGAGATTTCATTTTTAAAAACCTTGTAAAAGTCTTGTTTGTCCACATGTTGAAGTACAAATGTAGTTACCTTTAAGACCTTTTTAAATATACAATCAAATACCAGTAACTATGCCACAAGAAGCACCGGTTTTATTTACGTTTATTTTATTTAAATAACGATAATACTGGGTGTCCTACTCGCCGCGGCAGCGCGTTAACCAGCTGCTGCTGCCGGGCGTTCTTTCGTCTGGGTCTAAATGAGAGACGTCGTTGGACGCGTTACCTTGGCAGTGAGGCTGAAGAAGCCTTTTGGCTCCACCATCTTCTCCAGAACGTGGCACTTGATCCCGGCCGTGCTGTCGTACTCGTACATCACTCCGTACTCCAGCTGCACGTTGTCCACCGTCAGACTCACGTGGTCCTTCTTCCCGTCAATAATCGCTATCGTGTTGAACTTATCCATCACCTCTGAAGGATGCAGAAACACACAGAGGATGTCAGAGGGGTTTGGAGTCCCCTGAGGTCCCTTTGTGTTCAGAGTGAAGACATTTAAACCCACCAGGAAGGACACATGACTCCCTACAAACTAAAGAGATGATCCTTTGGCATCTGTTTGAAAGCAGAGGGGTGAAAACTAGTAAGATTTAAACTCAAGAATTGGAACATCACATTAAATGTTTCCTCAATGCACACGCACCTAAATGATGACCTGGTAAGGTTCTGTAATACATGAGGAACGACCACAAAGTGTGTGCCTCCTCTGCACCGTAGGGGGTCTGCAGTGTGTGTGTGTGTGTGTGTGTGTGTGTGTGTGTGTGTGTGTGTGTGTGCCTCCTCTCTGCACCGTAGGGGGTCTGCAGTGTGTGTGTGTGCGCCTCCTCTCTGCACCATAGGGGGTCTGCAGTGTGTGTGTGTGTGTGTGTGTGTGTGTGTGTGTGTGTGTGTGTGTGTGTGTGTGTGCCTCCTCTCTGCACCGTAGGGGGTCTGCAGTGTGTGTGTGTGTGTGCGCCTCCTCTCTGCACCATAGGGGGTCTGCAGTGTGTGTGTGTGTGTGTGTGTGTGTGTGTGTGTGTGCCTCCTCTCTGCACCGTAGGGGGTCTGCAGTGTGTGTGTGTGTGTGTGTGTGTGTGTGTGTGTGTGTGTGTGTGTGTGTGTGTGTGTGTGTGTGTGTGTGTGCCTCCTCTCTGCACCGTAGGGGGTCTGCAGTTCAGAGGAAGACCCTCCACATGATGAGCACTTCCCACAGCATTACGATAACTAGCGCTTTGATAACGCGACGACTTAACGGGCCAATAAATCCTGAAGGGAACACTTTCCTGTGAGGAGCCATAAATCAGAAGTGTGTGTGTGTGTGTGTGTGTGTGTGTGTGTGTGTGTGTGTGTGTGTGTGTGTGTGTGTGTGTGTGTGTGTGTGTGTGTGTGTGTGTGTGTGTGTGGTAACTTCTCACACTAACACACTCCAGATGAGTCTCACTTGTGTTCCCGCGAACATGCCTGCATTTCATCCACACACACCTCCAGAGCAATTACTTCACCCAGATTCTAGGGGTGTTACCTGTGTGTGTGTGTGTGTGTGTGTGTGTGTGTTGTGTGTGTGTGTGTGTGTGTGTGTGTGTGTGTGTGTGTGTGTGTTGTGTGTGTGTGTGTGTGTGTGTGTGTGTGTGTGTGTGTGTGTGTGTGTGTCACCTTCCACTTTGCACTGGAATCCCTCTCCACTCTCCTCAGCTCTCTGGTCTGGTTTCTGGTTCTCCTCCTGAGCGCTCTCACTGTTGTTGTAAACCCACTTTATGGCCTCTTGCTGCAGGGATTCAAACGTTTGATTACAAATATTTCAGAACTTTAGCAAAAAAAAAGACCGGCTTTGTGTCAGTGCTTATTTTCATTTTAAGAGACAATGGGAAATATTCAAACAAATATTGAGGATTTCTTTTGAGAAAAACTGTAATTTTCAAGTTTGTTTTGTCTCTTCAATTGCAAAATCAAGATATATGTGTGTGTGTGTGTGTGTGTGTGTGTGTGTGTGTGTGTGTGTGTGTGTGTGTGTGTGTGTGTGTGTGTGTGTGTGTGTGTGTGTGTGTGTGTGTGTGTGTGTGTGTGTGTGTGTGTGTGTGTGTGTGTGTGTGTGTGTGTGTGTGTGTGTGGCAGATGATCAGATATGGAGGCACAGTTGGGTTGGCAGAACACACGGTGAAAATCCTTCACAGACATATGGAAACACAGGAAACAATACCATCTACACACACACTGCAGTGAGCCAGAGTGTGTGTGTGTGTATGTGTTTGTCCTTTCCCCCATGAACACCGAGCCCACAGCAGGTTTCTGCCAAGGCTGCCTGCTGTGCCTGTGGTCTTCGAGCTAACACACACACACACACACACACACATAGGGTGGTTTCTCTCTGTGTCACACACACATACTGGATGTACAGCAGTTCTGCAGTAGTGTTAACTCCCTGAAGCTCTTTATTAAACCTGGAGTCCCCACGGTGTTCAATTATGGTGACACACACACACACGAAGGTAAATGGGAGGTTGGAGGTGTGTGTGTGTGTGTGTGAAGTGTTTTCTCACGGTATAAACTAGTGGAGGGTTGCGTTCCAATAGTCCATTTAGCTTAGGAACCTTCCTGACGGAGTGAAATGACCCGGAAGTCCCTCAGTGGCAGCCATGATAAGTGCTGATTCTCTAGATGAAAGGAAAGGAGGTTTCAAACTTCCTTTATAACCTCCTTTAGCTTAGGAACCACTGGACCTCCCTCACCGAAAGGAGAGGAGAAAATGCTGCCCCACAATGCATTGCAGCCGCAGCATTTGCCGTCACTCAACAGTCGGCCGTTCACGGAAACAACCGATTATGACGGAGAAATGATATCATGAAAGTTACGGTGCTCATTAAGCTAAACGTATGTGGTAAGTTGCCAAAGTGCTTTGTTCTGAACGTTCATCAGTATTATAATCAAAGAGAGAAATATGAACGTTAGTTTTTACTGAAATGATCAAATAAAGTCAACATCTCTCAGTCTTTACTGAGCTGTGGGGTTTGTTCAACTTTTTAAAGATGTTTGAATGGTGATATACACAGTGATAGATGTTAAGGACTAACGTTTATAATAAATACATCTGTATTGATTTAAGATCTTTTCATCAATCATACGTATTGGGATCATTTGTATTAATGAGGACCGGAGGGAGAGGGGGACGAGCAGAAGCTTCACTTTCCTTTTTATTTCAGTTCCAGCTTTGGTCCTGAAGAATCTGTTTCTCTGTTGTCCACGTTCATAAAGCATAAAGCAACAGCGTCAGAGCACAGAGTCTCTAGATGAGTTCACAGGAGTCCCTCGTTCTTATTGAACATCCATGTTGTAGTCCGCTGTATAGAGAACTGTAGTCTCCATAGTTTCCCCACAGCAGCAGACGCTCATTCAGGACGTCCGCTGGCGCATCAGAAACACGTGGGAGAGTGAAAGTGCAGTCGATTCTCTAAAGTACCGCGGTCTCTTCTCCTAAGTCCTTTTGAAGTCTCCTATCCACTATCCCTTAACCCCGTGACGTTTCACTCAGAGGTCAAGGAATAGACGTTAGGAGCTGATTTTTGGATTATCGGAACGCAACCCTCGTTTCCGCTCTTTCTCAACGTACACACTTCCCTGCACTAACCCCTTCAAAATAAAGGACCAGTGGATTTACTGTGTCCTTACAGTAAGCTCAGGAGGCCAGCTTTTCAAAATAAAAGCCCCATAGTTCCTTACAGGAAACACTGTCCAGTATACAGAGGTCAATTGAGACTTCTTCAGAATAAAAGAGTTAGTCTACTATTACAGGAAGGTCCAGACAAAGCCCTTTTCTTCAGAACAAAAGACCCATGGAGTAACTGTATCGGTTACTGATACCTTTGTGTTTCTAAAAATTACAAATGGTATTTATAAAGAATTGATTTGCAGATTGTTCTCCCTCTCACCTGTGTGGGTCGGCGGTACTTCCTGCAGGCGGTGACGTGAGCGATGACGCTGGCGTGGCTTTCTTTACTCACATTGATGCCGTTCACTTTGATGATACACTGACCGGGGTGGAGGCCGGCAACAGCTGCTACTGTACCTACACACACACACACACACACACACACACACACACACACACACACACACACACACACACACGTACGTTAGCAGACAAACACGCCTATAAAGAACCATGCAGGTGAAACAAACACCAGAAACATATGTTAGCGTCCGTGTTCATTAGCGTGAAGCAGATTTGTGTTTTATTTGTATTTGTAAAACATGCCTCGATGAACACACCGTACCCGACAAGGAGCAGGGAGAAGACACTAATCTTAAGTGATAAACAAATGGTCTGTCCTTCATATGTTCTGATTCACAGCCACTCATAACAGCATCGTGGGAAAATGACTGATGATCGAACCACATTGAACAACAACAGGCTTCTGGGGACTAGAAAATACATCGCATTTTTCCACTTCCTGTACCCAAAAATGTCTTCAACAACATTCCTTTTTCGTCGTTGTGTGTACACGTGTGTTTCCTGTTTGGGCGGCTCAGAGGAGGAAGTTGTTTATCCGTTAGACGACGTCCTGTCGCAGAGATTCAGACTTCACTTCAAGGTTTACAGCGAGCAGGAGGAAGTGCGTTACGGACTAAATATTCCTCCCGTTTGTTTTCACAACTCCTTCAACACACTCCATGCATTCCTCACACGGAGATATGCAGCATATACACTCCTCAGCTGGTCATTGGTCCTTTTCTTTAAGTGTTTCAAAAGTGCAGTTTTAAGCCTCTCAAGTCTCTCATATTTCACACACATTAAAAGAAATATATGTATTTGGAGTGACGAAACAAGACATTTGAAGACATCAGCTTGGACTTTGAGTCACCTATTTCAATATTTCGGGTGAAAGCATTTTAAAAGAAGCACCTGAATGCATCACTGCACGAGGTCGCTGCTCTCCGAGTGGATTTATAATTAGCAGTGAAACTCCTCATGTGTGTCTGTTGTTGTTTACCTTTCACAGACTCTCAAATCCCATTGGACCAGAGAGATGCTGCCTTCAGGGACCAAAGCAACACCAAATCCCATTGGACCAGAGAGATGCTGCCTTCAGGGACCAAAGCAACACCAAATCCCATTGGACCAGAGAGATGCTGCCTTCAGGGACCAAAGCAACACCAAATCCCATTGGACCAGAGAGATGCTGCCTTCAGGGACCAAAGCAACACCAAATCCCATTGGACCAGAGAGATGCTGCCTTCAGGGACCAAAGCAACACCAAATCCCATTGGACCAGAGAGATGCTGCCTTCAGGGGACCAAAGCAACACCAAATCCCATTGGACCAGAGAGATGCTGCCTTCAGGGACCAAAGCAACACCAAATCCCATTGGGACCAGAGAGATGCTGCCTTCAGGGACCAAAGCAACACCAAATCCCATTGGACCAGAGAGATGCTGCCTTCAGGGACCAAAGCAACACCAAATCCCATTGGACCAGAGAGATGCTGCCTTCAGGGACCAAAGCAACACCAAATCCCATTGGACCAGAGAGATGCTGCCTTCAGGGACCAAAGCAACACCAAATCCCATTGGACCAGAGAGATGCTGCCTTCAGGGACCAAAGCAACACCAAATCCCATTGGACCAGAGAGATGCTGCCTTCAGGGACCAAAGCAACACCAAATCCCATTGGACCAGAGAGATGCTGCCTTCAGGGACCAAAGCAACACCAAATCCCATTGGACCAGAGAGATGCTGCCTTCAGGGACCAAAGCAACACCAAATCCCATTGGACCAGAGAGATGCTGCCTTCAGGGACCAAAGCAACACCAAATCCCTGCAGGACTGGTATTAAAACCAGTAACATCTCCCAGTGCCTCTGATTGCTATTAGACACATCTGACATCATGATACACACACACACACACACACACACACACACACACACCCACACACACACACACACACACACACACACACACACACACACACACACACACACACACACACACACACACACACACACACACACACACACACACACACACACACACACACACACACACACACACACACACACACACACACACACACACACCACACACACACACACACACACACACACACACACACCACACACACACACACACACACACACACACACACACACCACACACACACACACACACACACACACACACACACACCACACACACACACACACACACACACACCACCGCTAGCAGAAACATGTGAGCAGGCACGTGGAAATGATTCTAAAGTGTTTTAGCCACACGGAGAGCATAAGCAGGTGGAATCTGACTCTTGAGGCCAAGTCACACACACCAGGACTATAGCATCTGCTCTCCAGCTGTGAAGCACAACACAAGGGCGGAGCGGAGTTTTCCTGATGACTCAGCGTAAAGGTGGAGACCTCTCACCTCTGCCGACGGCGTGCACCACTGACGGGCCGAAGCCTCGGATCTGGAAACCCAGACCATCGGCCGAGTCCGGGATCTTCACCGTCCTGAGAGGAGGAGGAGGAGGAGGAGGAGAGGAGGAGGAGGAGGAGGAGGAGGAGGAGGAGGAGGAGGAGGAGGAGGAGGAGGAGGAGGAGGAGGAGGAGGAGGAGGACTCTTTAAAATACCTCTTGGATCGTACCTTTACTCATAGATAGAGGTGGAATGGATAGTTTGACATGAGGTTGTTTGAGGTTATTCTCCATAGTTGCAAAAAAACAACTTTCTTTTAGTTAGCAATAGATCTAAATGTGTCAATAGATCTAAATGTGTCAATAGATCTAAATGTGTCAATAGATCTAAATGTGTCATTGCATTTTATCATTTATTCTAACAATCAGCTGGTCATTAATGGCGCATTTCCACTGCAGCGGGTAGCCCCGTTTAAGCGTCCTTAATCGTCCTCAAGCGGCCAGGCCAGTTTTTGGTGGCCTTTCCATATAGCGTAGCGCCGGCTAGCGGGTACTTTTTCCCTCTTTTCTTACGTCACTTTTACTAGTGACGTCAACACTCTCGACTGCTGATTGGTCAGAGAGAATCGTCACAAGATCGTGCGCGAGATCATCCCTAGCGTCGCAATATATATCTAGAAGCAAGCTTGCAGCATTTTTGTAAACGGAGGAGCTACAAAAATGGCAACGTCAAAGAAAAGCACGCCGTGGTCGACCGAGGAGGTGACGACGTTCCTACATCTCATTGGGGATGATCAAATCCAGCGGGAGCTCGACGGGAGCCCTGCCTACACTGCGTTGCTATAGTAACTACCCCAGGTCCTCAACTGTAATGAAATGCGCCACGGCCTCGGACGGCCAGCGAGGCAGCCCGAGGCCTGAGCGAGGACGCTTAAACGGGGCGACCCCGCTGCAGTGGAAATCTGCCATTAGTCATTTTCTTTATGCAGAAATGTTTTAAAAATGCAATTTCAAGCCTCTATATTCTGGATAATTTACACCTTGGACTTTTGAGTCACTGGGATGCACATCATTCAATATGTTCTAACATTTGACGCTACGTTGTTTGAGTCAATGTCTTGTGGAGGGAGAATATAAATAAAGACTATAAAGTAAAGGTGCAAATTGTCTAAATATATATAATATGCTTTTAGTTCTAAATACGCCCAAATCAATGCAGTGCTTTGCTGAGTCTCCACACTGTAGGTCCCTCACTGACTGGAGAAGAACTTCATATAACCACACTTTAAAACATGCAAACCATCACTTTTTTGCCCGTTTGAAAGCCGACTTACTCTCGAGGCTTGGTGCTCACTAAGACCCTGAGGGGCCCCCTGCTGTGAAAGCACCGCTGCAGGAGGATCTCCACCTCGGAGAACGGCCGGAGGAACACCAGGTCTCCGTTTATAGCAAACAGCTTCTTCCCCGTCTCCAGACCCGCCATCTTTAGGGGAGAAACCATTTATGGTTCAAGGTTAGTTTATTTGCACATGTTAAGACACAGAGGCAATTCAAAGTGCTTTTAACACATAATAATTCAAAACAAAACAAAAAAAAGACAATTCATAAAAGCGATAAAATACTGGCTGCAGCTCAAAGTGCAACGATAAGGAGCGGTTAAAGGATCTCAGGATAGCTGCATTAAAAAGAAAGGAGTTTCAGGGACTTTGTTCCTTGGGTTGAATAAAAGCTCAAAGCTGCCTCAGTAGCTCTGACTCGAGACGAGGAGTAAACCTCCTGAAGAGAAGAGAGCTCTGGCTCCAACAGTGAAGCATGTCTGACATCTGGTCCCAATCCATCCAGTGCTTTGTATGTAGAAAGTAGGGTTTCAAAGCGTGTCCTTTGTGTGACAGGAAGCCAGTGCAGGTCTTTGAGAACTGGGCTGATGTGGTCAGCTCTCTTTTAGTGAGGACTCTGGCAGCAGCGTTCTGGATGAGTTGTAGTATACTGTTACAGAAGTCCAGTCTGCTAAAAACGACCAGCAAAGCTCCCAAAGGATTTCTATACCAGTAAAGCCGATATGGGGTAGTGACGCTTATCTACGAACATGCAGCTTCCATTGTTTCACAAATCATCCGTAGGGGGAAGAGCCTCTTCATTCAGAGCACCTTCATATTTATCTAATATATGATATTCCATTTACTTGAATATAGACTCTTCTTGCACTATTTCTGTTCTATTTATTTGTATTACTTGCACTATTTTAACTATTGTATCTGTTGTATTGTGTTGCTCTGTTGGAGGAGCCTGTGACCTCAGATTTTCATTGACATGACACACCCATCTCTCCAAAACATATACGAGCAGTCCGTTATCAGACAGGCAAACAAAATGGTGTCTGATCCCACCCACATACTCCACCCAGGATTCCAGCTCCTACCTTCTGGTAGATTCAGGGCTCCCAAGAGCAGGCTGAACCGCTACAAGCTCTCATTCCTACCTGTCCATTAAGCTTCTTAACATTCACATGAAATTAAATGTAGTCAGATGTACTTTTTAAATGTTGGCCATGAGGGTTGTGCAATAGGTCGCCATTGTCAGTATGTGCGTCTGTGTTAGTTCAAACGGTGTATGACTGATGATATGTGTGTGTCTCTTAATGTCCACTATGTGTGTATATGTACATGTATGCTGAACTGCAGGACGGGGTCCAGAACAAATGTCCTTACGGGGACATAAAGTATATCGTATCGTATGTCTTCACTGTCGCTGCTGAGCACATGACAATAAAAGCCTTGAATCTTGAACCTCTCCTTTGGAATCGTCTTCCATTTCAGATCCGAAGCTCTCCTTTAACTCCAAACCCATCTCTCCGCATCTGCCTTCCTCTTGGACTACTCTCCATCCCCTCGTTCCATCCACATGAGCATGACTTCAGTCACATGCTTTCATCACAAGGCAATACTTATGTACAATTGGATTGTTGGAGGAGCTCAGGTCAGAAGATGTTCATTGCTATGTCTACACTTTGTGCATGAGACAATAAAACCTTTGAATTGAATGTATAACCTTTATGCTGTGACGTTTGTATTTTGCTTTGAACAGTCCTTTGAGGCATTGCTTGTGATTTGAGGCTACAATACATTTTGATTTGATTGTCTGGATGTTTTCTCTCCCGCAGCCTCGATGCGATCCAGACTTTCTTTCAAGTTTCAAGGTCTCAATGCTGCTAAACTTTATATATATTAGGGCTGCAGGGACTATGGGACGTGGGCTCAGATTGATCACATCTGCCTTCAAACATTAGCCTATTCCCATCCAGCAGATCAAAGCTGACCTCAAACATAAAGCGCTCTTTAAAGTCTCTGCGTCTAACGTTAGCGTCCGTGTTCATCAGCGTGAAGCAGATCTTTGTGTTTTCTGATGATCCAACAACAGCTTCTGGGGACTGAGAAGACATCGATGCTCAGTCTGAGCATCAAGACGTCCTGCAGCTGCTTTAATGCAACAGATGACGTGCTTTCGTACAGATAATACACTCCAGCAGGGTTAGAAGTTACAATGTTCACATTTCAGACACTCTTTGAACAAATGATGTATAAATACAGCAATCTGAGCCTTAAATAGCGATGAATCATTAAAATCACTCTACTGTGTGTGTGTGTGTGTGTGTGTGTGTGTGTGTGTTGTGTGTGTGTGGTGTGTGTGTGTGTGTGTGTGTGGTGTGTGTGTGTGTGGTGTGTGTGTGTGTGGTGTGTGTGTGTGTGTGTGTGTGTGTGTGTGTGTGTGTGTGTGTGTGTGTGTGTGTGTGTGTGTGTGTGTGTGTGTGTGTGTGTAGTGTGTGTGTGTGTGTGTGGTGTGTGTGTGTTGTGTGTGTGTGTGTTGTTTGTGTTGTGTTTGGTGTGTTGTGTGTTGTGTGTTGTGTGTGTGTGTGTGTGATTGTGGTGTGGTGTGGTGGTGTGTGTGTGGTGTGTGTGTGTGTGGTGTGACGTGTGTGTGATGTGGGGCTGTGAGGTGTTGTGTGTGGTGTGTTGGTGTGTGTGTGTGTGGTGCTGTGTGTGTTGGGTGGTTGGCGTTGCGTGTGTGTGTTGTGGTGTGTCGTGTGTGGGGTGTGTCTTTGGTGTTGTAGGGGTGTGTGTGTGTGTGTGTGTGTGTGTCGTGTTATGGTGTGTGTGTGTGTGTGTGTTTGGTGTGTGTGTGTTGTGATGGTGTTGTTGTGGTGTGGTGGTGTGGTGTTGTTGTGTGTGGTGTGGTGGTGTGGTTGTGGTGTGGTGTGGGTGTGTGGTTTGGTGTGGTGTGGTGTGGTTGGGTGTGTGGTGTGTGTGTGTGTGTGGTGTGGTGTGAGTTGTGGTGTGGTGTGTGGGTTGTTAAGTGTGGTCCCCCCCAGTCCGCTGGGGAGCCCCCTTCTCCCCCATTTGATGATGGGGACTCTGTTCCTCTCCTCCAGCGTGAAGCCGTAGCCTCCATCAGTCGGTCTGATCTGAAACAGAGGAGAGACATCTCATCAGACACACACACACAAAGACACACACACACACACACATACTGTACAGACACAGACACTGACACACAACGACACACAGACACACACACACACACACCAGCAGAGACTTGGAGATCACGTTCTCCACGATCTTCAGGTCGTGTTTCACAGGCTTGTGTTTGGTGTTCGATCCTTCCATCTCCTCGTCGGCGAAGAAACGAAACAGCAGCGGCTCGTCTTTGAACTCACTCTTCTCCAGAACTGAGGGCCGCAAAAATAAAGATTTAACGTCCGGAAAACTGGAAACAACACCGAACTTAAACCTGCTGCATTTTAGTTTATCCGGCAGAAAGATTGCCTTCGCTCCTTGACTACAGATTATATTTAAATGCTGAAATGTTTCATGTTTAATTTGTGTTATTTATACAGTTTTAGACGGTATTGTTCTTTCAGGTTTCCATTTGAGTGAAAGTCAATGGAGAGACTTTTTGAACTTTGAATTTGGAAAAACAAATTATCAAATTATATTTATTTTATTATTATTGCTATCTATGTTTGAACAGCTGACTGAAGTTGTGTTCATCAGGATGCACCCGGTCTGTTTCAGTGCCTTTCTGGAGTCGTGTTGTTTACTCATCGTTTAGTTAGTCTCGTGCTTTGAAGGAAATGAAATGCAGTTAGGAAGACACATCCAGTTTGTACAGCTGTATAAATAAAAAGGAGTATATATATGTGATATATGTGACTGTCTGCACCCTCGCTGCGAGGGGGACCCAAGTTCCCATCAGCAGAAACACGTGGGTTTGCTATCCTGGCTCCAAGATGGTGGAATGAGCTCCCATTGACATCAGGACAGCAGAAAGCTTACACACCTTCCAGACTGAAAACTCATCTCTTTCGACTCCACTTCGAGCGATAGAACTATTAACAAAGCACTTATATACTAATAAAGGACTGGCTTATCTAAAGCCAGTTGAGAAGCACTTGAAATGTTTGGCTCTATGAAACCTGATGAACTTTATGATTCTGTTTTCTTCAAGGTTGTATCTTGTTGGTCGAACTCACTTATTGTAAGTCGCTTTGGATAAAAGCGTAACCTAAATGCAATGTAATGTAATATATGTGCAATGTATGTGTGTTTAACTCATCATTACATTTCAAATTCAACTCCACAAGATGAACATTGAAGTCGCCAGACAAGAAATATAAAAGCTTTTGGATCTCCTTTAGTGGAAAGAAACATATCCTCCACCCTTCAAGCTGTGGATTACAGATCTTACACATCATTTGACATCAGAGGGAATGTGCCACAAGGGGCTGTGCTCAGAGCGTTACGCTACAGGGCAACCGGTTCCTACATTCGTCACGTTGAAGGTATTTAAACATGCAAGAGTTAGAGGAATCAATCCTGATGTCATTACTCGGGATGTAACGATACCAAAAACTCACGGTACGATAATATCGCGATAAAAAGTCCACGGTACGATATTTATTTATTTTTTCTTCATTAAATAATAAATCTGCTTTGTACAGCATTTTATAGGATAGTAGTATTTTAAAGTGTCAACAATATAATAATCAGAACCTGCAATAGAATAAATCAAGTTTCACTTTAGTTTTTCAAGTAACTCAACTCTAACTCACTCGCTCACTCACTCACTCGCTCACTCACTCGCTCACTCACTCGCTCACTCGCTCACTCACTCTCTCACTCACTCGCTCACTCACTCTCTCACTCTCTCACTCACTCGCTCACTCACTCTCTCACTCACTCGCTCACTCACTCTCTCACTCTCTCACTCTCTCACTCACTCGCTCACTCACTCTCTCACTCACTCGCTCACTCTCTCACTCGCTCGCTCACTCGCTCACTCACTCACTCACTCACTCACTCAGCGGCATCAAGGTTATCTTTCAGGGATATGAGCATGTCCACATTTCCAGGTAGAAGCTGGGATGTTTGGGCGTTTGCAAAATCCCCTGCTGTGGAAACAACTCTCTTGCTTGGTACTGATGTTGCTGGGGCAGAGAGACATGCTTTGGCCATGGGTGACAGCAGTGGGTCAAACTGTGCATTGTCTCTCCACCACTTCAACAACAATACAGTTGTTGCCAAGAAGGTGAGGCTTATTGACAGAGATATAAATATACTGTTGGTACTTGTCAATGTCTCTAAGTATGTACATGTAGCCCTGTAAATACCATGTCCTTGTGTTATCTGTTGTTTTATGTTCATGTTGTAACCTACTTGCTGTTGGACAGGTCTCCCTTGAAAAAGAGATTGATGATCTCAATGGGACCATCTGGTTCAATAAAGGTTTAAAAAAAAAAAAATCGCGGTAGATTTTGTCACGACGGTATTGAGACAGCTATTTACCGCGATATCGCGATCTTCGATATATCGTTACATCCCTAGTCATTACCAATCGGCTCAGTAACACCATAACAGGGGCGTTGTGTCATTTGGAAGGTAATACTGCATTGCACTGATCACTGTATCTTCTGTGTCCTTGAAACCAATAATAATGGTATAATCAAGTCAGCTTTCAGGAGTGTTATACCGTGATGCATGAAGCCGTTGTCACACAGCTCCACCCCCAGAATCAGAGCCTCCTCTCTCGACCTGCAGTCGCCCTGAAGAAGAGAGAGATTCAGAGAGGACATATTTAAAGAGAAGGCAGAGCAAATGAGTTTATTTGTATTTACTTGCACATCTCAAAACATTCCCTGGCACTATTTTATCTGTTGTATTTGTTCTATGTCTGATATATATTCATGTTGCTCTGTTGGAGGAGGACTTCAGTTTTTCATTGACATATCTACACTGAAGCTAATGAGCACATGGTGATAAAGACTTGAAACTTTAGGGCTACTTTAAACATGTTCTGTTAAATACTCAGGAGAGACAGAACAGATGATGCTTGCCTCCTCTCCCCAGCAAGTTGACATCTTGTATATTGTTGCTTCTATTGTTTTTACTTGTACTTGTTTTATGGTGTGTGTGAGCTGAGTGATTTCTGTATGTTTGTGTGTTTATTTATTTGACTGTACAGCACTTTGGTCTGGAGGCTTCACACACACCCACACACACATACCATTTATACATCACTTCAGGGGACATTACATTGACTTACATGCATTTCCTGGAGACTTATCCTAACCTTAACCATAACCAACACATGCCTAACCCTAACCCTAATCAAGTCTTCACCCTAAAATTAATGACTCCCTTATGGGGACCTCCATTTTGTCCCCATAAGGGAGGCGAGTCCCCACACGTGACTGTGTAAACAGATTTAGGTCCCCACAAGTATAGTAAGGCCACACACACACATCACACACACACACACACACACACACACACACACACACACACACACACACACACACACACACACACACACACACACACACACACACACACACACACACACACACACACACACACATCAACACCACACACAACACACACACACACACACACACACAACACACACCACACACACACACACACACTCTCTTAACCAAGTCTTCACCCTAAAATTAATGATTCCCTTATGGGGACCTCCATTTTGTCCCCATAAGGGAGGCGAGTCCCCACACGTGACTGTGTAGACAGATTTAGGTCCCCACAAGTATAGTAATGCTAGGACACACATACACACACACACACACACACACACACACACACACTTATTGATTCTGCGGCGGTATTCATTTCGTTGTTGTCGTGCTGCACAGGACGATCAATCCGTCAGCCTCAGAGCTTCCTGTCAGACGTAATAAAGCTGGAGGAATCACTTACTACAAAAACTACAAACACAATCTCCAACAGATGTGTTTAAAGTCAGGAGATAATTGGGACAAAGAAAACTTTCCAAAAAGCTAATTATGTAACTTTCAGAAAATCAATTAGCTTTGAATATTGTATTTATTTTGTATTATTAACAGCATACAATAACAAAAGCACTCTATATAAAGCATCTGCGCCATTCTTCATGTTGCATTAACACTACGCATACACTCAACACACTATAATACTCGTTATTAAATTATTATATATTTTCCTTAAACGTCCTGCACTGTTTGACCCATGTGAGTTCTTACGTACATGTCGCTCTTCCATGATGATCGTTTTACTGGAACAAGGTAAACGTTGAGATGACTAAACGTCAGTAAGTGAATTCTTGACCCTGCTTGAGGTGTGAAATCCTCAAGGCATATTTACTGTGACTATAAACTATATGCTTTTTTGTCATTTGGTCATTTTGTTGATGTATTTCTGATAACGCTGGGTTACCTGAGCGATGAGCCAGTCTATCAGCTTGTTGGCCATCACCACTGATTTGTACGTCCGCAGATGGTAGTCTTTATCCCTGAGAGGGTGGAAGAGAAATGTTAACAAACACAATGAAACCTTCAAATGTGACTCCATTGTTTTGTTTACTATGTAACACTCACTCTCCTATTGGCTAGCGCTCCAACACATTGTGAGTGATAGGCTAAGGGGGCGGGACATCTCTAAACTGTTTGACCAATCACAACAGAGCAGGCCAGCTAACCAATTAAAGTAGAGACACTACATTCTGATATACACCTGAACATCAGCAGGAGAGGACTCTTTAAAGTAGAGACACTATATACTGATATACACCTGAACATCAGCAGGAGAGGACTCTTTAAAGTAGAGACACTACATACTGATATACACCTGAACATCAGCAGGAGAGGACTCTTTAAAGTAGAGACACTACATACTGATATACACCTGAACATCAGAGGAGAGGACTCTTTAAAGTAGAGACACTACATACTGATATACACCTGAACATCAGCAGGAGAGGACTCTTTAAAGTAGAGACACTACATACTGATATACACCTGAACATCAGCAGGAGAGGACTCTTTAAAGTAGAGACACTACATACTGATATACACCTGAACATCAGCAGGAGAGGACTCTTTAAAGTAGAGACACTACATGCTGATATACACCTGAACATCAGCAGGAGAGGACTCTTTAAAGTAGAGACACTACATACTGATATACACCTGAACATCAGCAGGAGAGGACTCTTTAAAGTAGAGACACTACATACTGATATACACCTGAACATCAGAGGAGAGGACTCTTTAAAGTAGAGACACTACATACTGATATACACCTGAACATCAGCAGGAGAGGACTCTTTAAAGTAGAGACACTACAAACTGATATACACCTGAACATCAGCAGGAGAGGACTCTTTAAAGTGGAGACACTACATACTGATATACACCTGAACATCAGCAGGAGAGGACTCTTTAAAGTAGAGACACTACATACTGATATACACCTGAACATCAACAGGAGAGGACTCTTTAAAGTAGAGACACTACATACTGATATACACCTGAACATCAGCAGGAGAGGACTCTTTAAAGTAGAGACACTACATGCTGATATACACCTGAACATCAGCAGGAGAGGACTCTTTAAAGTAGAGACACTACATACTGATATACACCTGAACATCAGCAGGAGAGGACTCTTTAAAGTAGAGACACTACATACTGATATACACCTGAACATCAGAGGAGAGGACTCTTTAAAGTAGAGACACTACATACTGATATACACCTGAACATCAGCAGGAGAGGACTCTTTAAAGTAGAGACACTACAAACTGATATACACCTGAACATCAGCAGGAGAGGACTCTTTAAAGTGGAGACACTACATACTGATATACACCTGAACATCAGCAGGAGAGGACTCTTTAAAGTAGAGACACTACATACTGATATACACCTGAACATCAACAGGAGAGGACTCTTTAAAGTAGAGACACTACATACTGATATACACCTGAACATCAGCAGGAGAGGACTCTTTAAAGTAGAGACACTACATACTGATATACACCTGAACATCAGCAGGAGAGGACTCTTTAAAGTAGAGACACTACATACTGATGTACACCTGAACATCAGCAGGAGAGGACTCTTTAAAGTAGAGACACTACATACTGATATACACCTGAACATCAGTAGAAGAGGACTCTTTAAAGTAGAGACACTACATACTGATATACACCTGAACATCAACAGGAGAGGACTCTTTAAAGTAGAGACACTACATACTGATATACACCTGAACATCAGCAGGAGAGGTCTCTTTAAAGTAGAGACACTACATACTGATATACACCTGAACATCAGCAGGAGAGGACTCTTTAAAGTAGAGACACTACATACTGATGTACACCTGAACATCAGCAGGAGAGGACTCTTTAAAGTAGAGACACTACATACTGATATACAGCTGAACATCAACAGGAGAGGACTCTTTAAAGTAGAGACACTACATACTGATGTACACCTGAACATCAGCAGAAGAGGACTCTTTAAAGTAGAGACACTACATACTGATATACACCTGAACATCAACAGGAGAGGACTCTTTAAAGTAGAGACACTACATACTGATATACACCTGAACATCATCAGGAGAGGACTCTTTAAAGTAGAGACACTACATACTGATATACACCTGAACATCAGCAGGAGAGGACTCTTTAAAGCAGAGACACTACATACTGATATACACCTGAACATCAGCAGGAGAGGACTCTTTAAAGTAAAGACACTACATACTGATATACACCTGAACATCAGCAGGAGAGGACTCTTTAAAAAAGAGACTCTACATACTGAGATACACCTGCACATCAGCAGGAGAGGACTCTTTAAAGTAGAGACACTACATACTGATATACACCTGAACATCAGCAGGTGAGGACTCTTTAAAGTAGAGACACTACATACTGATATACACCTGAACATCAGCAGGAGAGGACTCTTTAAAGTAGAGACACTACATACTGATATAGACCTGAACATCAGCAGGAGAGGACTCTTTAAAGTAGAGACACTACATACTGATATACACCTGAACATCAGCAGGAGAGGACTCTTTAAAGTAGAGATACTACATACTGATATGCACCTGAACATCAGCAGGAGAGGACTCTTTAAAGTAGAGACACTACATACTGATATACACCTGAACATCAGCAGGAGAGGACTCTTTAAAGTAGAGACTCTACATACTGAGATACACCTGAACATCAGCAGGAGAGGACTCTTTAAAGTAGAGACACTACATACTGAGATACACCTGAACATCAGCAGGAGCGGACTCTTTAAAGTAGAGACACTACATGCTGATATACACCTGAACATCAGCAGGAGAGGACTCTTTAAAGTAGAGCCACTACATACTGATATACACCTGAACATCAGCAGGAGAGGACTCTTTAAAGAAGAGACACTACATACTGATATACACCTGAACATCAGCAGGAGAGGACTCTTTAAAGTAGAGACACTACATACTGATATACACCTGAACATCAGCAGGAGAGGACTCTTTAAAGTAGAGACACTACATACTGATATACACCTGAACATCAGCAGGAGAGGACTCTTTAAAGTAGAGACACTACATACTGATATACACCTGAACATCATCAGGAGAGGACTCTTTAAAGTAGAGACACTACATACTGATATACACCTGAACATCAGCAGGAGAGGACTCTTTAAAGTAGAGACACTACATACTGATATACACCTGAACATCAGCAGGAGAGGACTCTTTAAAGTAGAGACACTACATACTGATATACACCTGAACATCAGCAGGAGAGGACTCTTTAAAGTAGAGACACTACATACTGATATACACCTGAACATCAGCAGGAGAGGACTCTTTAAAGTAGGGACACTACATACTGATATACACCTGAACATCAGCAGGAGAGGACTCTTTAAAGTAGAGACTCTACATACTGATATACACCTGAACATCAGCAGGAGAGGACTCTTTAAAGTAGAGACACTACATACTGATATACACCTGAACATCAGCAGGAGAGGACTCTTTAAAGTAGAGACACTACATACTGATATACACCTGAACATCAGCAGGAGAGGACTCTTTAAAGTAGAGACACTACATACTGATATACACCTGAACATCAGCAGGAGAGGACTCTTTAAAGTAGAGACACTACATACTGATATACACCTGAACATCAGCAGGAGAGGACTCTTTAAAGTAGAGACACTACATACTGATATACACCTGAACATCAGCAGGAGAGGACTCTTTAAAGTAGAGACACTACATACTGATATCACCTGAACATCAGCAGGAGAGGACTCTTTAAAGTAGAGACACTACATACTGATATACACCTGAACATCAGCAGCAGAGGACTCTTTAAAGTAGAGACACTACATACTGATATACACCTGAACATCAGCAGGAGAGGACTCTTTAAAGTAGAGACACTACATACTGATATACACCTGAACATCAGCAGGAGAGGACTCTTTAAAGTAGAGACACTACATACTGATATACACCTGAACATCAGCAGGAGAGGACTCTTTAAAGTAGAGACACTACATACTGATATACACCTGAACATCAGCAGGAGAGGACTCTTTAAAGTAGAGACACTACATACTGATATACACCTGAACATCAGCAGGAGAGGACTCTTTAAAGTAGAGACACTACATACTGATATGACACCTGAACATCAGCAGGAGAGGACTCTTTAAAGTAGAGACACTACATACTGATATACACCTGAACATCAGCAGGAGAGGACTCTTTAAAGTAGAGACACTACATACTGATATACACCTGAACATCAGCAGGAGAGGACTCTTTAAAGTAGAGACACTACATACTGATATACACCTGAACATCAGCAGGAGAGGACTCTTTAAAGTAGAGACACTACATACTGATATAACACCTGAACATCAGCAGGAGAGGACTCTTTAAAGTAGAGACACTACATACTGATATACACCTGAACATCAGCAGGAGGAGGACTCTTTAAAGTAGAGACACTACATACTGATATACACCTGAACATCAGCAGGAGAGGACTCTTTAATGTAGAGACACTACATACTGATATACACCTGAGCATCAGCAGGAGAGGACTCTTTAAAGTAGAGACACTACATACTGATATACACCTGAACATCAGCAGGAGAGGACTCTTTAAAGTAGAGACACTACATACTGATATACCTGAACATCAGCAGGAGAGGACTCTTTAAAGTAGAGACACTACATACTGATATACACCTGAACATCAGCAGGAGAGGACTCTTTAATGTAGAGACACTACATACTGATATACACCTGATCATCAGCAGGAGAGGACTCTTTAAAGTAGAGACACTACATACTGATATACACCTGAACATCAGCAGGAGAGGACTCTTTAAAGTAGAGACACTACATACTGATATACACCTGAACATCAGCAGGAGAGGACTCTTTAAAGTAGAGACACTACATACTGAT